AAAGAAGAGAGGTGTGAGTGTGGGAGGGGGGGGGGGGGGGGTATTTAGAAGGGAAGGGGGTGAATATTTAGCATAGAGGGGGTTAGAATGAAGAGGTGAATATTTAGGATTGAGGGTGAATAATAAGAATGAAGGGGTGAGTGTTTAAGAAGAGGGTGACTATTTACGAGGGGGTGTTTAGGATGGATGGTGAATATTTAGGAAGGTGGTGTATATAGAGATTCCTCCTCACCATCCGGCTCTCTCCTGAAGGCAGGGAAGAGTTAAACGCCGGGACTCTCAGGAACCAATGAAGACTTCCTCCTCAGCAGCAGTTAACCCCTGCCAGTGCCAGGCTGCTGTGCAGGCAGAGTCCCTCCCCCCGGCGGTCCCCATTGGCTGGGGGTGCTGTCACTGATCAGGCTCCCCTTACCTTGTAGATGTCAGAGGCTGGAGCCTGTGCCACACTCTGACTGGCAGGGGAGCCGAAATGGCCACAGCTGCCTCCAATCCCTACAGCATTCTGAGCAACCCAGCCCTGGTCCATGCCGAGCCTGGCAGCATGCAGCAGGGAAGCCCCTTCAGGAACCCCCAGAAGCTGCTGCAGACCGACTACCTGCAAGGGATGCCCAGCAATGGCCACCCTCTGGGGCACCACTGGATGACCAGCCTGGCCGATGTCAACCCTTGGTCCACCAGCCCCCTGGAGCAGCAGGACATTAAGCCTGGCAGAGAGGACCTCCAGCTAGGAGCCATCATCCACCACAGGTCACCCCATGCCAACCACCCGAACGCCTGGGGTGCCAGTCCGGTCCACAACAATTTGACCTCCAGCGGCCAGGCCATCTACTCCCAGTCTGGCTTCAGCGTCAGTGGCATGCTGGATCATGGTGCCCTTACCCCACCTCCACCCCAGACTGTCAACACGCAGAACCTACACCCGGTGCTCAGAGATGCCACCGAGCACGGAGACCTGGGCAGCCACCACTGCCAGGACCATTCCGACGAGGAGACCCCCACCTCAGACGAGCTGGAGCAGTTTGCCAAGCAGTTCAAACAAAGGAGGATCAAGTTGGGCTTTACCCAGGCTGACGTGGGCTTGGCACTGGGCACCCTCTACGGGAATGTCTTCTCCCAGACCACCATCTGCAGGTTTGAAGCCCTCCAGCTCAGCTTCAAGAACATGTGTAAGTTGAAGCCCCTTTTGAACAAGTGGCTGGAGGAGGCAGACTCCTCTACTGGAAGCCCCACCAGCATAGACAAGATCGCAGCTCAGGGCAGGAAGAGAAAGAAGAGGACCTCCATAGAGGTGAGTGTCAAGGGGGTGCTGGAGACCCACTTTCTGAAATGCCCCAAGCCCGCAGCCCTGGAGATCTCCTCCCTGGCAGATAGCCTGCAGCTGGAGAAGGAGGTGGTCCGGGTCTGGTTCTGTAACAGGAGACAGAAAGAGAAAAGGATGACCCCACCAGGAGACCTCCAACAACACGAAGTCTTCTCCCACAGCGTCAAATCAGACTCATCGTGCCATGATCTTTGACCAGAGGACCCCTGGCAGTGGACTGTGGATTTTCCCTAAAGAGCTTTTCTTAACTTATATTCTCTTCTGGAGAAAGGAACATAACAAAAAAAAAAGAGACTTTATACAATATACAAAGCAGTAGAAGACTCCAGGAGCTTGGAGCTCCAGACATGGCAATACCATAATGACCTGTTTACTGGACACTTCTTGTCTTGTCCTCTCCCAGAGACTTGTGTGCCTCTCTGCCTTCCAGCGCCTTGACCACAGCAGAATCTTATCAGGTGACCTTCCTTTTACTAAAAGAGAGAAAATTCCTTTTTTTTTTCTGTTGCCATTGTTTATGGAGAAGAACCTCAAAGTCTGGGAATTGGTTTCTTGTGTCTGGAGGTGTCTTACTACCCCTGAGATGGGAATCATCCACATTCTCCTCTGCTACAATTATATTTCTTTTTTTTTAATGAGTTTCCAGCAAAACCACAAAGTGTATCTTCTGTGTGTCCTAGAAAGCATCATGTATAACCCAGGGCTGTCTATGGAGCGTTGCTGCATGCCATGTATTCACTCTCACATATCATTATGCATCATATATATTTTATTTTGTAGCTTTGTTGTATATGGAAGAGGCTCGGTGTGACAGAGGGGTCTCTGTAGGTCTGGGGAAGGGAGGGAGGGGGGTGTTCTCAGACCTCTCCCCTCTCTCTCTCTCTCTCTCTCTCTCTCTCTCTCTCTTTGGGTTTTGTTCTCTGCTGCAATCAAAATTCACAGATGTCACTGGTCCCAGCGGTGTCTATGGAATGTTCTCCCAGTGGTGGTGGAATACTGGAGACAAATAGTGCGCCCTGCATACCTTACTTAATAATCAATAATACTGATAGAATTCCCTGTTTATAATATCCATGTGCACACAATCATACAGATCATGGCAGAGATGGAGATTGTCGGGAAGGAGCAGATTTTCTATCTCCTTTTGCATTTTTTGCTTCCAGATTCTGATCTGAGTTCATAACAGGAGTGTAAAACTCACTGTGGAAGTTCCCAGTACACCTGCTGGGAGTAAGCTCCCTGCCCATACTACTCCTTCTTTAAAAAAAAAAAAAACCTTTTATTTAATTCTTACAATTTTTGTAAAAATCATTTTAATACACCCCCCTCCTTCTCTCTCCTTCTCTCTCAACATTTATTAATTCAGTGTTTGTTTTTATAATTACTCATTCTGTACTTTCTCTGTATCTGTCACTTCCTCTTCATTCAACCATTATTTTAATTTTTTTTTTAAATAATATTTTATACCACACATCCTACCTCT